ATTATCTATGACATACATATATATATATATATATATATATATATATATATATATATATATTTATACTATATTTATTTATTATAGTTAATTTATACTATATTTATTTATTTATCATAGTTTATTTTATACATACACACACATATATATATATATATATATATATATATATATATATATATATTTATTTATTGTAGTTAATTTATACTATATTTATTTATTTATCATAGTCTATTTTATACATATATATATATAAATTAACTATAATAAATAAATATAGTATAAATTAACTAAAATAAATAAATATAGTATAAATTAACTATAATAAATAAGTATAGTATAAACTAAATATATAGTATAACTAAAATAAATAAATATAGTATAAATTAACTAAAATAAATAAATATAGTATAAATTAACTATAATAAATAAATACCTTAATTACCTTAAATTTAGTGACTATTTCTGTTTCTTTGCTGCACTGTCTTTTTCTATTTCCGCTTTTAATAAGATTGGGTATTCCACGCTTTCTAACCTAACCTCCCTTTTTCTGTTTCCCCTATTATTCGCTTACCTTCTACTTCCAACTCTATTTACCTATTTATCTCTCCACTACGGTACCTATTTCTATCCTCACCTATGCCTTCGTTTTTGAAATTTATTCACTTTTATTTACCTTGACTCTCTATTTTTTCGCATCTCTTATGGCACACACGCCCTCTAACTAAGTTCTCTAATAAATAAATATATATGTAGTTTACTATATAATATATATTAAATATAATACACTATATATAGTGTATTATGTAATATATATAATATATATAGTATTATATAATATATATAATATATCTAGTGTGTAATATATAAGTAGTGTACTATGTATTATATATATAAAATATATAATATAATAGACTATATATGTATATATATAATGTATTATATAATATATATATAATATTTTCAGAGATTGTGTTTTGACAATACATTAAAGAACTATTTTTGTCAAGTATTACAAACTTACACAATATAAATTAATACATATTAAAGTATAAACTTATGCTTTATCATAAACTTTATTACAAACTTGTATATCAATGAATTAATTAATACATGTTACAAACTATTTCACAAGTGTTTTTCATAAGTTAATAAACTCCCAATATTAATGTCAATAATTTCCACCGATAATGTTAGTAAAAAAACTTTCTCGAAAATACGTAAGACGTGTCGCAAACATTTGCTATCTTTCAAAAAGCACTGCTGACACCAGGAAGAAAAGAATCACTTTGGTCAGACGTCAAAGTATTCAAATCAGGAATTGCCCTCTCGAAAATTACGCGCTCCTTGGAACGAACGAATCGACGATCCCTCACCGATGTGAAATTGAAGCAGAGTATCCCAGTGGGTTAACCTCAGATCCAAAGGGCGCAGCAGCGATGCACTTTCGTCCTCTATGCTTTGCGCATAGACTGCGTGCGGTCGAGGCACACACACACACACACACATACACACATACACACACAGAGTAGCGAGCATCCGCCACGGCATAAACAGCATATTTTCTGACTCACCAGTGCAAACGTAACACGGAGGCGAATATTTGGAATTATTCAGAACGCGGCCTCGTCTTCCACCCGTCTTTCGCTACCCTTTTTCTTTTTTTTTTTCTTTTTTGATGCTTTTCCTGTCGTTCCGCCAACGATGCATCGAGTTACCGTCTGCCGAGGCTCAAACGGCTACGAAGAGAAGAGAGGAGAGGCCTCGAGAGACGGCTCGATCGAAGGATCGCACGCGCGTACAGCGATGAAACTTTCAACGTTTCGGGAGTCAACCGTTTCAAAACTGTATCACAGTGAAGACCAAAAAGGTGCGGCCTGGAAGGTCCAGACCAGTGACGGCGAACCTTTTTGAGAAGTAGGTCAAATTTTGTTCATTATTTTTTTTTAGTACTAGCTCGTGGGTTACTAAGTCAGTGGCGTCACTTGGAAAGGGGAAGGTGGTTAAAAACTACTTTCTTTTGGTTCTCACTTTTATAATCCTCTAAAAAACGTTTACGTTTCCTTTTTGTTTCACAACGTTTACTTTTGCGAGTGAAGGGCAAAAAATAAATGTCGACGTCAAAAAATTGATATAAAAGGGGTGACATCGTGCCCTTGCACTATACATTATATATATATGTATATACT